AATGTAATGTATGTATGTCTGTATGTGCATGTATGTACACACTCGAAGCGTCCCGCAACACTGCGGAGGTTCTGTATCATGATTGCATGAACTGATCCGATTATCTGTGTCGGACCTGGGTTAAAGTTTCCTATGACACGGGAGTTTTAGGGAGAACCCCCTAAACCCCTAAACCCCTAAAACCTAAACCCCCAAACCCAAAGCCCTGTCTTGGGGAGCCCAGGACGGTCATGAACTCCAAAGCCCTGAAGCAGACGCCCCGTTTCCTGAAGTCCATAATTTCGGCCCAAGGCATCCGCTGCAACGACTATCCTGGGTACTTGGGTTTGGGACTCGCTTGGGAGAGTAATACGGTCGTAATCTAAGCCATGAGGTCAAAATGCTAAAAATGAGTACTTGAACCCTTCAGGGTTAGGCTTTGAGAGGCCTGGGCTTCGAAACCCTGAACCCTAAACCCTTAGATCCAAACCCTAAACCCCTAGAAACCCTAAAACTTAAAATCCCTAAACCCTAAGCCCTAAACCCTCAAAACCCTAAAACCCAAACCCGAAAACCCTCGAAGCCCCTAAAACCCTGAGACCCGGGGCAACACGCGCCTCTACGCGCACCATCTCCCATCGGCTGCGATCCCAGAAGATGGTGTTGGCCTGTCACCAAGCCGACAGCTTCGAAGTCTAACATGGGGCCTCGATAATCAGAATAGTAGGGTTTAGGGATACTATAAGGGTTACCAGAAGGACATAGGGGCCTCAAATAATTAAAATAGTAGGGTTTTGAACTCTAACGTAGGGACGTAGGGGGGTCAAGAGTTAGACTAGTAGGGTTTTGGGGTATGTCATACTCTGAGCTTTAAATGGGTTTCGATTCCATAACTATATTCACCTCATTAGCCTCACGGGTACAGCCCACACTGAAACGCCCGCAAAAACCCTGAAATGGAAACCCGGAGTCGGACATCTTCAAAGCGAACCCCAGTAATCGCCCTATAACACACACCACGATCCTGAACCCCTACAATACTTTAAGGCTTTTTTTGTGAACACCTTTTTCCACCCAGCAATCCCAGCAGAGAGCCCCAATCCTAGGGTATAGGATTTGGGGTTAAGGTCTGAAACTCGGAACCCACCTTCTACATCCCAACAAGGGCATACCCCATTGGGAGCCGCAATAGAGCTCATGCATGATAAGTGTTGATCCTACGGCCCCAAGAGCCGTTAGTAACTTCTCAGTGTGAACTTGAACTCTACCGAATCTTCGCGTTTAGCCGCTGAGCCCTACAAACACTTGCTGTACCTGGGGTCCAAAAGTACGCAAACATGGCATGCACCGCAGCAGACAGCAATATGGCCTCAGATGCGCATATCTATGAGAATGAGTACGGAGTACGGCAATGGCGATGATGAGGATGATGATATTGATCACGATCATCATCATCATCATCATCATCATCATGGTCGTCGTCATCGTCATCATCATTATCATCATCATCATCATCATCATCATCATCAGCTTCATCCTGGATTGTCGTCGTCGTCACCATCATTACCATCACCAGCATCACCAGCAGCGGCCGCGCGACTACCACCACCATCACCGACGTGCAGCCATCATCGTCAACACCGTAGTTAGCCGTAATGATGCGCCTCGCCATCCATGCTGCAGCTGACAAAGCCTGCAGACAGCACCGTGGGGGACATCTGATTCGGCGAAGCTCTCGCTGGGAAGCGGCAGCGACAGGTTCACTAACCCTCTTGAAACAAAAGGCCGTACAACCCTCAGATCTATGAGCACTACTACTAGAGCTAAGAAAGTTATTTTGGTGCTTGCGAATGTTACAGTGTGCCGGGAATCTAGAACAATTATTTGAGCAAGATTGCCAAGCGATCTTGCCCCACTTCTGGGGGTGGGGGGCAACATTTCATGCAAGCTTGGTCAATCTTGGTCTGAAGAGGTAAACTAGTCTGCGAGCAAGTGGGGCAAGATTACCAACTTTGCAAGACAAGCAAGATGGCTGGCAATCTTGCTTTTTGGACCAAGACTGACCAAGATTGCCAGGACGGTTCCACAAAATAATTGTTCTAAATTCCCGGCACAATGGAATGTTACTAGTATTTCTAGTGTTGTTACTGTCGTTACTAGCATCATATTATAATGTAACGCCATCATCTTCGATCTTTCGCTGTTATGACTACGAATCCTTACAACCCCCAAAGCTTGTAAGGATTCTAAGGGTTCGCGATGTCAAAGCACTCTCACGCCGTCTGGGGAGCTGGCTGTACCCCTCTTCTGTCAAGGTCGATGCCAAAGAAGCCCCGTTCTTCTTGGACACGTCCACGCCCTTTCGGGACATCTGTACCCTAAACCCTAAACCCTAAACAATAATTCTCTGCATGTGGGAGATCTGACAATCGCACGTGCACGACGGCCCTCACGCAGGAGGATGAGATTTTGCTTCACGGCTGAAGAGCATTCAAAACGAGATTGTCCGAAACTCTTGACTGGAAATCCGGATCATTTTGCCGTGCTGAGAACTATGTACACCGCTGGGCAGCATTCCGCGGGCAAAGGTGCTCTGCCCAGTCTGCAACGAGACGGCAAATGGACAGCTCTTTCAACGCTGAATTCAGCCGTGTAGATCCCTGAATCCTGAGCCTTGAACCCTAAAACTGTAACTAAACCTAGGTTTAGGGTTTAGGGTTTAGGGTTTAGGGTTTAGGTTTTAGGGTTTAGGGTTTGGGTCGCTCCGCAAAAAACCCCTCCGAGCTTGCAAGTGGGAGGTATGGCTGCAGCCCTTACTGCTGCTGCTGATCTTTCTGTGGTACCAGCTTCAGCTTCGGGAAAGCCACATTTGCGCCTGCGGGATGTCTGATGGGGCTGACTTAGTTGGGCTGCATAGGTTGTGGGCTTTAGAGCATACTCTGGGTTGGCGATCCGGATGCAGTTAATTCAAAAGTGTTTGGGAACGGGCGGTCCTCTTGGGACTTCCGGTCTTGGGGTCAAGGACGGTTCCGGGTTGAGGCTGCGGGATTTCCGGGAAGTCCCTGTCCGGGAGGGGTCGTCCGCAACTTACGACTTACTAGAGTAAGACAGGCTTATGTGTTTATGCATCTTTGCAGCGAGGGATGGATAGAACTCGGATGTAACCGAACAACGTGACAATGTCGGGCCAGATGGCAGGCTCTCCAACCCTAAACCCTAAACCCTGAACCCTGAACCCTAAACCTCAAACCCTAAACCCTAAACCCTAAATATTAAACCCTAAAGCCCTAAACACTGAACCCTAAAAACCCTAAACCCTAAACGGCCCTAAACCCTAAACCTTAAACCCTAAACCCGAAGCCCGAAACTAAGAGACGGATTGTGGTGTTTTTCAGCTCCACACCCAAACCACCGGGAGGATCTAAAAAGTAGATCCCCTAATTCGGGACCCTAACTACTAAAGCGTACTTTATAGGAAACCCTAAACCCTACACCCTAAACCCTAAAACCCTAAACCCTAAACCCTCCCGGTGGTCTGGGCAGGATCCGGACCAGCAAACCGCCCTGCTCGAGGCGGCCTGAGGGCCTAGGGAGGCATTCACAGAGTTTTGAGGGTTTAGGGTTTAGGGCTTATAGGGGTGTAGGGTTTAGGGTTTAGGGTTCATAAGGGGCGTAGAGTTTAGGGTTTAAGGTTTAAGGTTTAGGGTTTATACGGGTGTAGGGGTTTAGGGTTTAAGGTTCAGGGTTTAAGGTTTAGGGTTTATAGGGGTGTAGGGTTTAGGGCTTAGGGTTGCGGGTTTATAGGGGTTTAGGGTTCAGGGAGCTCTAGGCCCTGAGCTCCTGAATCTGAACCCCTGATTCCTCAACCCTGAACTCTGAACCCTGAAAGGTTAAAGCCTAAGACCTAAAACATTAAAGCCTTGAACCCCAAATCAGCAGGCCCTGAACCTTAAAAAGCCTTGAAAGGACACTTTGTGCCTGGGTAGCTCCGACCCTCGCGGACATCTCCGGTCACGTAGAGCTCATCACAAAGCCGCTCCTGCCGAAGCACAGTTGAGAAGCTGAGAATTTCTGCGCTTGGGGATTAGGGCTTAGGGTTCCCCCAAGGCCCTAAACCCTTTCACCCTCATTCCCAAGCATGACTACCCTCATAGACCCTTACACAAACCTTTAGATAGAATCCTGATCAAACCTTGCACAGAACCCCAAGCCCTCGCCCCCAAGCCCAGTCCATGGCATCGCCACCATAGTCAGCCAGAACCAGACCATAAACTCGCCTGGGCGAAGAAGAAGACTCTTTAAGAGTTTGTAGGTTTAGAGTTTATATAGGGTTTAGGGCTTAGAGTTTAGAGGGTTTAGAGTTTATATAGGGTTTAGGGCTTAGAGTTTTATAGGGTTTAGAGTTCATATTATAGGGTCCAGCACTTTTGGGAAACAACTCCAAGTAGAGGGCAGGAGCCCTACACCCCAAACCCTTCCGTTGTCCGCACCCGAGGAAACGTAGGGCCCAGCTAAGTCCTGTGATTCAGCCTCTGAGCTTTGCAAAAGAAAGTGTAAAAGTTGATGGTGCGGCATGGTCCTTATGAGACCCTCATCAAGTCCCGGTAAGAGGCAGTAAGGTCCCTACCACCCCCCCCTTAGGATCCTTCTAGACTTCTAGACCCCAAGCGCCGCCCAGCTTCGTGCCGAATTCCTTCCGTGCCCGGAAGATCGGCTCTTCGTCCCCGGTCCGCCTCAGGGCGTCGGCTTGGGCTGCTTATATCGTGGCTTTTAGTGATTGCTATAGGGTCTACGTTGGGATTTAGGGTTTAGGGTTGTTGTAGGGTCTTAATGCATTTTTTGGGGTCGCTTATCGGAGTGCTTGTTTCTGTTCGGTGTAGGAGAGTTCAAGAGCGCTTTTAGGGCCAAGAGTCTCTTTTGGTTTTGCAGGGACAGTTGGAAGCTCTGCAAAAAGTTGATCTGTAGAGGCTTTTTGGAGGCCGTAAATGTTGTCTTGACGCTTTGGGTCCAGCACTGAAGGCTTCATTGTACCCTAAACCCTAAACCCTAAACCCCTAAACCCTAAACCCCTAAACCCTAAACCTTAAACCCTAAACCATTCCAACAACTTCAGAAACAGGCAAGCCTGCAGCGGCTCCCAGAACGGCTTCGTACAAGGATCCCAGTTACATATGCTCAAGAGTGCTCAATGTAAGCAAAACACCAGACCCTTGGGATGTTGGAAGTTTTTGCGCACATGGAGCACCCCAAATGCGAGGTTCAGAAAATCAAGAGAACGACTCTCAAATACCAAGACGGAAGGAGGCTTTGGGCTAGAGGGTTCATGGTCTAGCTGAACCCGAAAGAACCCGTGAAAACTGCATAGAGCAGTAATAAGGAATCCCAAAAGCTAGGGTATTCAGGCTTCAGGTAATGCAACGCTCTTAGTTGGTATAGGAGAAGTAAGCTGAGACGGTCCGAGGAGCACGTCCAGCTGTCCATCGGTAACTATCAGCAGATCCTGGAGGCGGCGGCCGGGCACCGAAAAGCCTACTTCAAGCTTGGGTACCCAGACCACCCGGAGGATCCAAAAAATGGATCCCCTAAGGGGTTGCTATAAAGTACCCTTTAGTTAGGGTCCCGAATTAGGGGATCTACTGTTTAGATCCTCCCGGTGGTTTGGGTATTGGGTTGCCTGCGGGTCCACCTTCCTGGACTGGAACAGAGCTAGACTAGCCATTGTCATCGCGAAGGCAGCAATACAAGATCCTAACGGATGCGTATCAAATAGTACGAATGAGGACAGTGGTAAACAATAACGGCAGTACATATGTTCCAGCCAGCAACAAGCACAACCAAGAACACATAAACTCAAAACCGGAAGGGATACTATTCTCCCTAAACCCTAAACCCTAAATCGTGTCTCGGTTCTACACACATGCCGGGCAAATCACTAGCCTCAGGCCCAGTCTTTGGTGCTCGCTTCTTTGTCTAGGTGGTTGCAGGTTCGGGCTTCTGTTCGTTTAAGGTTGAGGGCTTCAGTTTAGGGCTTATATCATTTATAGATGTTTATAGGGTTTAGGGCTTGGAATTGAAGACTGTGGGCATTCAAGGCTTCGAGCTAGGGGTTCAGGATTTGTGGCTGGGGGGGTTAGGCTTGGGGGTTTAGGCGTTTAGGGGTTTAGGAGTTAGGGGTTAGTGGTTAGGGCTTTAGGGCTTTAGGGCTTTAGGGCTTTAGGGCTTTAGGGCTTTAGGGCTTTAGGGGTTTCGGGGTTTCGGGGTTTCGGGTGCAGGGTCTCAGACTGGATCCACGGAGTCGTGAAGGCCTCGGGGGTTGTGTGCCGAAGTACCAGGCTGGGGTGAGAGTAGACCTTCAGGATAATGTAGGAGCCTTAACAATTAGAATAGGGTTTGGGGGGTCCTTATCATCGTAATTATGGTACAATTACACCCCCAAACCCCATTCCAATTATTAAGGCCCCTATGTTAGACTTTCAGGATAGACCAGCATCGAGATCTCAAAGCCCAAACCCGGAAACCCGGCTCTTGAAGCCCCAAACCCTTAAAAAGGCAACACGCTAAAGCCTAACTAACCCTAAACCACAAGCCCTGAACCCAGACCCAGGCCCTAAGCCACAGACCCAGGCCCTAAACCCCAAAGTCTAAACCGCAAACTCCTAAACCCTCAGCCCTAAACAAAACCCAAAACCCGACTCCGCTGCAGACCCGGCGCTGCGTTGCGCCAGGCATCTTCTTGCAGTCGCTCCGCTGTACGAGCCAGCGCATCCTCTCAGTCTGCGCAGCTTTGGGATGTCGTTGGATTTGGGGTTTTTTAGGGCTCAGGGTTTTGGGGTTTTGGGTTTAGGGTTTTGGGGTTTCGGGTTTAGAGTTCTGGTTTAGGGCTTTAGGGTCTTAGGGTTGCGGTTTAGGGTCTACGGCCTAGGAACGGGCTTATGATGCCTGAAAATCCTGTAGCGGGCCGAAACTGAGCTTATCAGTACCAGAGTTGTAGCTTTTACCGGCCCTAACCCCAAAGCCCTAAGCGGCCTAAACCCTTAAACCCGAACCCCCCCAAACCCCCCAAACCCCTAAAGCACACCTTACCTGCGAAGGCTCGGGGTCCTCCAAGTAGGTTCCGCCGCCGAAGCTACTTCTCAGGAAGGTGAGCACCTTCCTGCCAGAAGAGGCTTTGGGTGTCATTGTAATTATAAGTTTAGGGAACTACCTATGGAGAGTGATTTGAGGGGACCCTAGGGGGGCGCTTGCCTTATGTGGGTACTTCTCTAAATTAGGGTCCCGTTTAGGGTCCTTTCTATAAAGGGTGCCGTACCAATTTGGGGGGGCCTAAAACGGGAGCCTATTTTAGGGAACTACCCATAT